CCTATCTGTCTATGTACTGGCCAGGAGTATAGAGTGGTTGAAAGAGTTCTGTTAGCTGTAAGTGGATGTTTGCATCACCACTTCTGAAATCAGCACTCCCATGACATGTTTGGTACTTCATTAGAAGGACTCAAGAGACTCAGCATATAGTCGTACTCATGGCTAAGATTTATTACAGCAAAAGAGTAAGTATACATAGTGGATCAGTAAAGAAGATGATACATCACGTGGAGTTTAGAGGAATCTGTGTGCCTGCTTCGTATGCTCTCGCTGAGGGGCCACACAGAATATGCTCTCCCTCTAGTAGGAAGTGCAGTAACATAAGCACTGTGTTTTTCTTCAGGGAATCCCATTGGAAACTCAGAGTCCAGTGGTTTTATTTGGGGCTGGTCATGTAGTCATGCCCTACCTAGGCACAACTGCCAAAGTTCCAGACTCCCAGAAGTAAAGTAGGCAGGCATTCATCATATATCACAATGTTTGTATAAACAGTCTAGGCACAGCAAAATAACCTTATCAATTAGTAATGGAGGAGACTTTCCAAAAGCCAAGTGCCCAGGTGCCAGCCAAGGGCCAGCCCAGCAATCACACCCTTCTCAAGATCAGGCCTGCTATGTTAACTCATCCCTGCACAGTGGTACATACTGATGCTTAATGGTGCACAAGCTAGTTAAGTATTTTGGAGCCAGAGTTGAGAAGACTGACTATGAGTCAAAGAACAGAGGGCATCATTGGACATCTTAAAGAGGTGATTGAAATGGCGGAAGAGCTAGCTTTCTGGTGATAGCTATTTGAGCACAGGGAAACATAATTTGCTCTTGATTAAGCTGCTCAATAAAAAGTTGCACTCTTGGTAACCTCTGGCAAATCAGGGATATGGCTGTGCAGCTACAGAAAGGAAATATGAAACAAAATGACACATGGGAAAAAAAAGACCAGACTTTGGCAGTGAATTGGCTGTGGGGAACTCTTAAAATACAGAACACTTTCTTGTCTATTCCTCAAAGATCTCCAGTTTGTTTGCACGGGATGAGATGGATGAAATCACCCAAGGTCTGATATCGGTGATGAAAAAGGAGCTGCCTCGTCATCCTCCTACCTTCGATAATCTGTATGAATACTTCATTTCTCGATCAAGGAGGAACTTGCATGTTGTTCTCTGCTTTTCCCCAGTGAGTTTTTGTTTTTATTTGTATCCACATAAGAGGAATTACTTGTTTAAAGGAACTTAGATAATTTGTCTTCTCTGAAAAGATGATTTGCTCAGAAATTAATGTTTGTTACATTGAATTAAAATTATTACTTTGCTATCACCAGTTTCTATTGACCAAAATCTTCTCACCAGTGTGATAATTTAGAATATTTGTATAATTGGAAATTATTGCATAGCCTACAATTTTTATTTACATAGCCTACAGATATAGATTATTTGAAGGAATTTGGTGATTGTAATCTCGTCCAGCTCTACCTTCAGTATAGACATGCCATCAATCCTGATATAGAATTTGAATATCTCTAACTTATTGTGCTGTCCAGTACAGTAGCCATTAGCCATATATGGCTATTTAAATTTTGATTAACTAAAATTAAGTAAAAATAAAAATTCAATTCCTCAACCCCACTAGCTCCATTTCCAGTCCTCAATACCCATGGTGGCTAGAAAGCACAGATATGGAACATTTCCCTTATTACAAAATGTCCCATTGTACAGCTCTGCTCTAGGGGGGATTTCACTAATTAAAAAGGCAACGTACTTCATTTTTAGATAGTCTAATTGTCAGAAAGCTCTTTACAATCGGTTGAATTTTGTCTCTTTGTACTTTTCTGATTCTGCCCTGTAAAATGAACCTGACCTTCTCCCATATAAAACTTTTCAAATGTTTGGAGAAAGTTTTTGCAGATGTTTCCTTTTTAGACCAGACATCTATTCCTTCAGGTGTTCTCACTTGTCCTAGTGTCCAGACTTTTATCATCCTGGTTCTCTCTCTCTAAGTGATTTCTAGTTTGTCAGTGTCCTTTTAAAAAGTAGTTCCTAGAATCGAACTCAATAATACAGAGGTAGTCCCAGGACAGGGAAGAGTAAGGAATATATTACCTCCCTTCATCTAAACACTAAATTTATATAATTGGAGCCCAAGAAGACTTTTTAAAAAAAAACTTGTGATGTTACACTATTGGCTCAGAATGCACGAATCTCTCTCTAGATGATTTACAATCCCTCTGTGTTTCTAATGCTTTTTGACTTTGCTTTCACTAGGTTGGTGAGAAGTTCCGTGCCCGTTCTTTGAAATTTCCTGGCTTGATATCAGGTTGCACTATGGATTGGTTCAGTCGCTGGCCAAAGGAGGCTCTGGTCGCTGTAGCCTCCTATTTCCTTTCTGGCTATGATATTGTCTGCTCTAGTGAAATTAAAAGACAAGTTGTAGAAACAATGGCACTCTTTCATGATATGGTTTCAGAGAGCTGTGAAAGTTATTTCCAAAGGTAAGTGAGATTATAGCAGCACAATAGCTACCAAACCACAGAGTCCACTTCAAAGAGGAATTAAATGTAACATCCAGAAAAAAGACTCTTCATATTGATTGAGCATGAAGTCCCAGCTGCATTTAGAGTTTTAATTTTCTAGTGATTATGTATTGAAAAGATGACAAATGAGATTTAAAAATTAACTAATATTCATGCTTACCCTCTAGGCCTTGAAGTAGATGTTTAATGAAGCATTTTATTTCGTTTGCTTAATTTTGTTTTGAAAATGACTTAACTACTTCATTATAAACTGTTTCCAATTAGTTTCTTATTCAAATGCATTATTTATTTTGATTAAAGAAGTACTGTTTTAAAGTTTCTTTATTGCCTTACATTAAGGGAACATTTAGGTTTTATATTTGCATTACTTAGTCTTATCAATATTTTTATGCCAAATAATTATAAAACAAAATTTTTAATTGATTGTAGGAAAACCACTCACTAAAAACAGCAATGGTGTGTTTATTATGTGAAAGGTGGTGTCAGAAGTTCAAAAATACAGGGTTTTTTCCCCTCAAAGAGTGATAGTCACTGTGTAAGACTGACAACTGGGAATAAAGGTGGGCCCATATGGATCTCTAGAACAGTGAGCTCCTCCGTTAG